GCAGGCTGGGGACAGCTATTTGTCACTAATTAGCCCTTGGCAAGCCACTTTAAAATATAACCATGACAATGTGCTGATGAGGGTTGGCACATGAGATGGCTCAGTCTTTAACAACTGATGGAGAGCTAGATGATGCAGTGTCTGCGATGCAAAGGGCCAGGCTTTCCGGGTCAATAAATCCCTTCCAGTTCCCCGCTCCACCCAGTATTAAGGCTCCCTTCACCTTGGATCAGTCTCATATGAAAAAAACCCCAGCGTCTTAGTATGAAGCAGGGCCATGCAATCTCTATCCAACAGACCCTACTCATTCAGCCTCTTTTAGTTTGCAAGCATCACGGGCCTTTCACCGAGGCGCTAATGAGCTCCACGAACAAAGGCTGTGCAACTACTTGGCTTTGAACCAGGCTGTTTTGATAAAGCCGCCCAGGGATGCACTGTACTTTCCCCGACGTGCCTGGCATGTGACTGGCTCCCGGGGGGCTTCTCTCATTACCCCGAGAGCAGCGAAACCACTGCGCTATAAACAAGCAGCAGCAGACAAAGCCGGGGCTGGTGGGCTGAGGTTTCATCTGCTCTTGGTCCATGTCTCTGGGACAGTGGTTTCCAGGCACAGATGAACCTCCCAAGTTGCTGCCTGGCCTTTGTTCCCCTCCTCTCTGTGATTTATCTCGGTCACAATCATCCTTAATCTTGTCCTTCAGGACAGGATGGTTTGCCCTTCTCTAAACATGGCATGGACACCGCGGCTGGAGAAGGGGATCTGGCAAGACTGTCCCGTTAAGGAAGGGTAGAGAGAGAGCGCCCGTGTCCAAGTCTGCCCGCTGCCCGCTCGGATGAAAGCAAGCAGAGCAGAGACGGGATGGACGCACATCCTTGCAAAAGGGAAACTATCCCGGAGGGCAGCAAGGCGACAGGGCTACCAACCAGCATAGGCCAGGACACGAGCAAAATGTCTCCTTGCACACCCATGCCCAAAGGGCTGCTCCAGATCCGTGTTAACAAAGAAACCACTGGGAGACAGACGGGCCTTGTAGCCAGGCTGGGCTCCCGGACAGGCGGGCACCGACTGATCTGACCGTCCCGACCTCAGGTTTCTATAAACACCGGATGGAAAATAAACAGCGTGGGGCTGTCTGGTTGGGGCCCTGGGGTGGAAGCCACACATCTCTCAGCTCTTTGGTTTGGAGGCGATCGTGCTGCTAAATGATGTCCCTGCCTCTCTTTGGCCAAGCATCCAGGATGCCTCTTCTTCCAGAGGGCAAATCCCGTCCTTCCCTGGCACTAGTCGCTCCATGAGAGCCTCCTGATACCCTCTACATGCCCCATGGTGAGAGAGGGGATGCCTGGGTGCAAGGGTGTCAATTGGACATCATTGACCCTCAAAAAAAACCAACCCCCAAGTACCTGCTTCCCAGTTATGATCTGCAAATGCTCCTGGCTTGAATGTCTTTAGTTTACATCACTGATTAGAAAGCAAAGCAGCCTCTTGACAGTCCTGGGGGGAAATCCTCCTAGTTATGTTGCTCAAAAACACTGGCAGTCTCTGGCTCCCTTTGCATGTTCATAGATTCACAGACGTTTAGGCAGCTCCTATTCATTTTATGGGCAATTATGACCCACAGGTCCCTTTCGGACGTGGTGCTAGCTAGCGTAGCACCACCGAGCCTGACAGTTGCTTTGGCCAACCTCATAATTATCCTACGCTGGCTAAAATAAGAACATACTTGTACTCCCTTATAGCATGTATATATATATATACACATATACAGACATGTATATGTGTGTGTGTGTGTGTGTGTATATATATATATATATATATATATATATATATACACACACACAGACGTCTGGGCTTCTGGCGTTAAGTTCTCTGCAACTTTCCATGGGCTGTGCTCCTCCAGCTCTCTCCCTCCCAACACATGCCAGCCACCGCTTGATACCATGGCACCATGCCTGTTAATTGCAGTCGTTAGTGGTGACATCCTTCCTTTGAGGTTCCTTCATCCTTCCTTCCTAGTCTCCATCCTTGGAGGGGTTTAAGACCCGGGTAGACAAAGCCTTGGTGGGGATGATGGAGTTGGGGCTGGTCCTGCTTGGAGCAGGGGGTTGCACTGGATGTGACCTCCCGAGCATCCTTGCAACCTTCATTACTATGATTTTATGACATGAAAATGCTTTCCCTCCAATGGGGGGAAAAAAAAATAATAGAAACTTCTCTCTTTGGGTCTGGAAAAATTCCTCCCACCTGGCATTCCCCAACCTGTCTGCTTAAGAGTCAAGGAAGGGCTTAATAAGCCTGCCAGGTCTGCAGGGAGTGAAAGACCAGGGGTCTGCATTGCTGTCACCCTCCACCAGCAGAGAGATGATGAGCTAATATTAATCTGTCTTTCATTCCCTTTCATGTGCCAGGACCCCCCCCAGAGCCTTAAAAGCGGCTGCATCAGGGCTGCCTCGCTTGTCACGGAAATGCCGCCACACAACAAGGCGACCACCCAACCGCACACGTTTCAATGCAATGTCAGGAGCAATTGCAAACTTCCCACCCGGAGATTTCTAGCCTAGGCTTTTCCTGATTTGATGTCGGCTTTGATGCCACCACAGGGAAAGACAATTTAGGAGACGAGCAGCCCGCGGGGACTGCGGGAGGAGTCTCTGCAACTAAAAGGCTGCAGAAGACAGGGGCCTTTGGATGCTAAATGGATCTTGTGACCCTGTTCCTGGAAAGAGCTACCTGCCAGCTGTGTTTCAGGGTGAAGAGGCTGCAATACAATGGCTCCAGGGATGCTCATGTTGAGAGGAGAAGACCACACCTGCTGCTTCTTAGAAGCTGGTTATTAATGGAGAAGGATGGGGCAGTTGCTTACCCCCTTGCCTAGGACTCAGAAGGATGCGATGCCATCCCCGGTGCTCCCCTACCTCACACCTCAAGTCAGCGACAGGGCTCTGCTCCCTGTTCAGGGCTGTGCAGGATCGTCCCTTACAATACGACCTTCTTCCTCCTCGTTTGGGCTGCTCCACATCCTTCGGACACCCAAACAATAAGGAAGCACCGGCTCCCCTCCACATTTTCTCGGCTGGGATGACATCACTGGGGCTGGTCCTGCTTTGAGTAGGGGGTTGGACCCTTCCAGCCCCTATTTTTCTACAGTTGAACCCTACCCATCCAACGTTTCATGGGGGCTCATCCAGGGACCAGTAACGGCGGGCCCACCAGCTGGGATCCCCTGGCATGTGTCATCACCTTGATTTCAACTAGAAGTCGCGGCCAGGAATAGACGTGGTCATTCCCCGGGGGTCATTTAGTAGACTGACTTTAGCTGTTCAGAAGATGCTTGGTGGAAACAAAGCTCGGGCCAGGGGAACTGTGCTCCCAGCATGAGTGGGGCGTTGCTTATTACTGCTGCGTAGCTAGTGACTTTTGAGGCATGCACAGCCATTGCAGCTTGCGTAGGCATTCAGAGCCGGACGTGTACCCAGAGCACCCACAACACCTTCCCAAACCTCTTCAGGAAGCTAAAGGCTGAGGACATTCACCCACGTCACTCCGTGACGTGCTAGCGGTGTAAAAGAGAGCCGGTGTAAAGCCAGCTCGGGTGTGTCTACACAGCATGCTCAGAGATGCTCTGGGACCATTTCTATTCCCCGCTGGCATGATTATAGACTGAGATGCTCAAATGCCTCTTTCCTCACTTGGCCACTTGATTCAAGCTTTGCCTCACTGCTAACCCTGGTGCTGTTGGGGTTGGGTTTAAAATGGAGAGCATTTCCACCCAGGAACCGCGTGCGTGGCACCGTCCTGCCTGCCCCCAGCTGTGCAGTTTGTGGCTAGATCTTGAACGTCATTTCCTCCGGTGAGCCAGGAGACGGCACGATCCTAACTACGGACGGGACATGGCTCACCATGTACACCTCGGTCTAGAAATATCTGATTCAGGTAGTGTCGAGAAATAAAGGTTTCTGTTGGATACTCAGCCAATACAGCGGGGACGGAGAAACGGTAGAGATGGAATCGTATTCTGCGGATGAGGTCTCGTCTCATGGAAATCCTAACCTGGCTTCTGCCAAAAATGAAGGATTCACATCTGTATCTCGCTGCTCTGTATTCATACGGAGACCTGCAGAGAGCTAACCCAGAGGCTGATCTTTGATCTCCATGAAAGATGAGGAGTTCCTGGGTACCAACCCCCCACGGCTTTGCAAATCACCCGTGTCTTTGTAAAGCGACTGTGACACACAATCGTTCGGCTTTGCTCGGGATCTCCCAGGCACAGAGCCACGGAGAAGCAAACCCCGCTGCTCTTCAGCTTCATTTCAGCATCCAAATGAAGACTAGCTCCATTTTCAGTCACTCGTTACTGGAGGAGCATGAGTTTAAAGGACCCTGTCTCTGTGTAAACCCTTATTAATACGGGAGTTTTGCCCCTATTAATGCACGAGTCAAGACAATAGCTTTACGAGCCTGCTAATCGGGGAAGATCCCCAACTCTTTAGCTTAATGGGTAGAATTTGGGCCATTTAAACTCAGAGGTCCTCAGCTCCATACTGAGAGTCAATGCAAACAGAGGGCTGTTACTAGTCGGATTGCAAATTCTCTGAGGTTGGGACCATATTTCTGCTCTGTAGTTGTACAGCACCAAGCACAATAGACTCCCGGTCCAAGCCTGGGGCTACTGGATGCTACAGCATTGCACAGCAGGCTATGAGAAGATGGGTCAGCTGTTCATAGGATGGTCTCTGCTGGCAGGGAGCAAGTCTCACTGGAGTGTGGGCACCCGCTGCTAGCTTCATAAGTACTTTGCTCACCGCATGCTATCCACTTCTCCCCCGATCGCAGTGAAGATGGCTCATGCCAGGTAGAAGAAGGCATGGGTGGCTTCGAGAACAGTTCCCACCCCGCTTGGGGTGAAACCATGATGAAGAAAGGTTTGGGTGTAGCCCACCAGCCCCGGGAGTTTCTCCAGCGGCGGAGGTCATTTGCGTTGTGTACAAGCGCTACTTACCCTTTCCCTCGTCTCGTTGGTGAGGAACTTCGCACACTCGCTGTAGTTCGCCCAGGTCCGGTTGTTGCCTGGCACCAGCTCCCAGCTCCCGTTCAGGTCACACCGCCGATAGGCATGGCCTAGCGAAGAAAGGACAGAGCGCACGACGGGATGCTGAGCGGACATCCGAGGAACGATCTCCCCGGTGCCTCCCTGGAGCTCAGTGACACACCGCCAGTCTACCCTCATCCTCCTCTTCCCCTCTTGCTTGTGCCAGTCTCTTACACACAGTTTTATGTCAGACCCCACCAAATCTCCCACGAGGATCCAACTGTCGACGCTCAGCTAGTTGTTCTACTAAGACATTCCCAAAGGGCTACCGTAATTCCTCACATACCACACAACACATTTCCCCCCCCCAAAATTAGCCCTCCAAAATGGGAATGTAGCTCTTTAGTGGAGAAGCTGATTTCTGTGCCAGAACTGAAGCAGGGAGACACTGCAATACCTGTCCTTTGCTTCTCTCTCTTCTCTCCAGCCAGCACAAACAGGGAAGACTCTAGCTTTTCACCATCTCACAGTTGCTTCTGAATTAGCAGTAGATTTTGGCTGAGCAGCCAAAAGCTGCTGTCAATTCAGCAGTGGCCGTTAGAGGGTTCAAAGTCTAAATTCGGCGTGAAGTAAGTTGGCTGGGGGCTACTGAGCTGCTTCATGTATCAGCTTCAGCCATGGCTCTGGAAACCCCCTTTTTCTTCGTTCTGCCTTCCTAAAACAAGGGGTGCGTCTTATTTAAGTGTGTGATACTCAAGAAAATATGGTAGTTGAAAAGGGGCATTTGTTCAAGCATTGCAAAAAGGTTACCTAGGGAGGCTGTGGATTTTCCATCCCTGCAAATTATCAAAATCAAGTTAGGCAGACACTTGGCAGGGATGGTTGAGGCAGGGATGACCTTGCCCTGAACAGGGGCTGGACTAGGTGCCCTTGTAAGGTCCCTTTCAGCCAGACTTTCCCATGATCATCTATCTATCTATCTATCTATCTATCCCCTCCAGCTCACTAGTCCCAAGACACATCCCTCCACCCTGCAGAGGATAACCATCTCCTGGCAACTGGGGAGGAGGTTTACCTTTGTGATTGAAGTCGTAGATGTACTCCGGACATGGCATCTCCACCACTTTGCCTGGCATGCCTTCTGGCCAGCAGACAATGCCGTCCCACTCGGGCAGGCAGAAGCCATCTGCAGAGGAGGAGCAAAAAGAAAAGGTGTCACTGGAGCATGAGGAGCAAATGTCTTTGCCCTTCCTTGGCCTTCAGCGCTTCCATATGCATTCACTTCATTGCATGTTCACTGCCTCCAAGTTGCTAGCTCGGTAAAATCACTGATGTTCGGCAGTGCAATATGCTTGACACCTGCTAGGATGTGGAGGGAAGATGCAGCCAACCCTCGTATCTGGTTCTTCTCAGACGAACGCAGAACAGACAAAGAGGTTATAGGGGCTCTCTGAGCGTCCCATGGCTTTGGAAATCACTTTATATATTGATCTGAAATAGCCTGAGTCTTATCAGGTTGAGGGCAAGCAGCAAAGCTCATCCCTTCAGCCAGGGGGGGAAATGGGGAATGGACCCTCTAGAGAGACTCAATCCAAATGATGAGCTTAATTAGGACCACAACTAGTGCCCGGCTGGCAACAAATGCTGCTGAATTATTGCACAGATGCATTTGAATGTGAATTTGGTTGGATTTTTAAAACAGTTTTGAAGGCAGCTCCAACACCTGTCCAGGGACCAGTGGAGGCATCTCTGCCAACCTAAAGAGATAACATTTATAACCTAAACCTAAAGAAATAACATTCAAAACACTGCATGGAGTTGCTGACATCTGTCTGCTGCTATCGGTTTGCCTGGCTTTCAGGGAGCGGGGATAGATAATGGGTTTCCTTTGGCTTTGTCCTGCCCACCTTAGTCAATGGGAGCTTGGTGACTAAAGTCAAGGAAGGAAAAAGGGATCCAAGATTTGGAAGAAAGTGCACACGATATCCTGCATGTGCACTGATCTGCAATTTAAGAGAGCTGACTTGTAGCCATTATATATGGATCTGGAGGCTGCTGCTTACATGAAATTAGATGAGAAAAAAAGGGAATAAAACAGGTCACAAGGATCTCCTTCCTCCATTTGCCTCTTAAGAAGGTATTTTTTGTTGTTGTGAATAATTCACAAATCGTTTCTTAATTTCTTTAGCAGTTCACGAAAACCTGCAGAACGCGGAGCTCCCCGAACGCTTGCAAAGAAGAATTTCCCCAACTATATGAGTTGGTTTAATCAAAGATACCGGATTTACCCAAAGAACTGTGTCTGCCCGTGTCCTTCGACCAACACGGCTACAGCCTGTGCCTGTGCAACCTTGAGACCGAGCAGCTACAATAGCAAGGGTTTCAACTAACCAACCACAAAGCCCAACTCCCTCTGAAATAAAGTTTGGAGATCTGAGTCCTCATGTCTCATATCTAACTAGGGTCAGGAAGAAATTCTCTTTAGGGGCAGTTTATCCTACCGTTGTTCACCACTGGATTTTCTCTACTGCAGGTAAGACTGCCCACAACCCAAGATGGGATCCTGGACTACACAGACCATTGGCCACCTCTGCTTTAGGGCATCCTATAGTCTTGCCCTCCTTGCTGCTTGCTTATACAAGCAATACTTTAGCAAGCGAACAGCTGTGCATCCTTAGGCTGTCCTCAGGAGAGGAATGACTTGTGCTAATTGTCCTAGTCTTAAGAAGTTAAAGGGGGGAAAAAAAAAGAAACCGTAGCAAACTCAATCTATCAGCAATGGACCTGCAGCAATCTCTGGCAGGTAAAGGCTGCGCCCTGCAAGGTACTGAGCCCTCTGGTCCAATCCAGTATTGTTTTAAATGTACAATTTTAAAAAACCTACATAGTAATAGGTGCTTTAAATGCATACACCTCGAACACCTTGATAGCCCCACTGAGATCATTTGGTGCAGACGGTGGAGCATGCAGCCTGATGAAGTGGGAGCCAGGACACCTGGTTCCTATTGCTTCTGAGCTGCTGCGATTTTGAGTGAGAAATACAGGGCTAATTCCAGCTGTCACAGAGTAAGTGGGAGTATCTCACCGATTTTCACGCACGTCCGATGGCATGTGCCTCAGTTAACCATCCGTGCTACCAGTGCATCGGTACGCTGCGCCAGCTCTGCCATAACTCATGGGGCTGTTGTGAGACTGAAGGATTGGATGCTCTTGAGGGAGCAATCAGTAGTTAATGAAGCCTTTTCATTGTCAGTAGACGGATCCATCCCAAACCCACGTGTTTCATTGGCAGCATATCCTTAAGAAATTTGCTGGAGTGGGTCGGGTGGGCTACACAGAAGAACCTAGCATGCGACAGCCCCAAGACTGCATTTGGGTGACAAGCAAGTGCAGACAGGTAGGTTTGACACCACTTTAATTTTCTATTTGCTGGAGACTTTCCCCTCTTTAGTAGTTGCTGCATTTCTAATGGATGCGGCTCTAGCTAAGCGCTGCATCCAATGTGTAGTATAAAGGCACTGTGCAGGAATCAAAATGGACTGCACTCCAGGGTGCCATTGCTAAAAAGGCATGATAAATGCACCGAGATCTTTGAGACAGTCTTTCATTAATACCAGAGATAGGCGTTCAACAGCCTTTCAATCATTCAAGTAATGTATATTCTTTGTAATGCATGTCCTTTCGCATAATTAAATAAAACCCCAGGTTGTCTTAAAAAAAAACAACCCAAAAACCCGTAGTTAATGTGCTCCTATTAGGGTTTAGGGATGACAATGCTGAATTCAATATAAAGGCCATCTAGGGAATAAAAAAGGACAATTTGAATTTTGATTTCTTACTTTTAATTTAGTGCTAATGAAAGGTTATCCAAGTCCTCAAGTACAGCGAATAAATAATATCCCCAACCCCGGTGAGACGTGCAGAGATCAAAAATACATGAATGCATGTGTATTTTTGAGGCAGGATGGCTATGCAGTCTCTATTCCTGCGAGCTGTACTGTTGGTGCTGTGCTAATAGCTGTTTTCAGTGATAATTGGAGCTGTGCACAGAACTGAATGTTTTTGGTTCACTTGACAAACCAAAAAAAAAAGAGAAAATGTGCAACTCCAAATTAAAAAAAAGTTATTTTGATTTTCTCAACAAACTAATATATATATATATATACATCATCCAAACCAAAACCGTCTCGTTTCCCTTGGGTGGTTTAACCCTTCGCTATAGCCAGGCAAATCATCCCACAAAAAAAAAGAAAAAGAAGGGGTTTCAAAACCAAAAACACAAATATTTTGTTTTAACAATGTTTAAACAGCTCCTTTCAACTTCCCTGAAGTACTGCAGCTTCTGGCCAGAAGGATTTTTCAAACCCACCCTGAATTCATAAATTCTTTCATTTTCCCTGAAACTGCATTTAAAACATTTTTTTGTTTTTTTTGCAAAATGAACCACTCATGATTTGGCCCATGTTTCATTGCTTCCCCCTACCCTGGTGACAAAGAAAGCAGAAGGCTGTGCAGTGCATCCCGATAAGCACGTCTGTCAGAAAAGCTGCAGACAGCTCAGCAACGAGCCCGGAGGGCACCTGGCTCCTGTCGCTGCTGGGTTGTTGCAGTTTTTGAAGGAGAAATTTAGAAATTATTCCAGCTGCTGCCAAAACCAAGAGAGTCATCTCCCCGACTTCCACGGATGCTGGACGGCATCCAGCAGAACTCCGTGCCTCGGTTTAACCATCTGTGAAATGGATGCAGCAGTCCTGGCACGTCTCGTGGGGCGGTGACAAGATTTAACCTGTGCTCTTGATAGAGCAATTACTATTTAACAAGGGCATCTTCACGGGCATTCATGTGACCTGTCCAAAGCTGATTTTGTTCTTCCCTTGCAGTTGACTGACGACGGGAAATGAATGGATACACTCCAAAAGCATTTTTAAAAAAGCAGGGAAGTTGGTTTTTATGTAGTCACATAAACTTAGTCACATAAACTTTTTATGTAGTCACATAAACTTATTCCTGTGACCTCTGATTGACTTCTCATACCTCTCGCCCTTGACCATTTGCTCCGTTATTATCCCATTTTGACCCCAGCGATGCTCCAGGTTACAATCTGGAGTTCACATATTTGTGTTCTACTTATTCTACAAGTCACTTAGGGCATATAAGACATGGAAAGACAACTGCATGAGAGTTCAATACTATTTTCATTTTAACAATCCCAAAATGAACCTCTTTGGCTCCCCTCTGCACTTCCCCCCTGCCTTTTTTTTATTTAGCTTTTCACTTTTCTCTGCAGTCTACCCTGCAAGTCAAAAGAGAGGAAAAAACCTGGAAAACCCTGAAACAGAATTGAAAAGCAAAATGTTCAGAAGGGAAACCCTTTTCACGATGACCATGCAACGCTCTTAATTTTCAACACGAGAACTTTTCATAAAGCGAATTCAGGCACCTCCATTTAGCTGCTTCAGGGCATTGCCAGGAGTAATAATAGTGCCTCTCGAGAGATCATGAAGATGCTCATCAACTCTACGTAGCCCACCCAAGGAACCAGCGTGGATTCACTTCACTGTAAAACCCAGAATTGATAAGTAGCGTTTTTAAAAAGAAAGGCAGGGGCTGGGGATTCGTTTAGGACTGAAATGGTCTGTATGCATCAGCATCGTTGGCAAAAAGGACCTTTTTTGGCTACAAAATCCCTGTGCATTTGAAGAGCATTAGGGGTGTTTCCGAAAAGGGAGGCACGTGTATACAACAACCGGTTTGCACACCCGCATGCATGCATGTACGTGTGCATGCACACACGCATTCATGCATGCACAAACACATGCACACACACGGATTATGGACCAAGTTGCAGCTGGTCTGCATCAGTAGACGCCCATTCATTTCCAAGCTAGGTCAGTGTAGCCCCACGGAGGCTCTGGCCCGACGTGCCAGGGAGCGTGGTTGAGGTTCGTACGCTAACGTGGTGACAGGAGATGCTTCTTTGCTGAACAAATCCTTTGTGAGGGCTTCCCCCAGCTGCCTGGAAGCCGGGCAAGAGACAGCCCTGCACAAACCGCTGGGAGTAGCGCCTTGCCCAAAGGCTATAAAAACGATAGACAAACCCCCTTGATCAACACGACGCGTGCGGTCGCCTTCCCGCCGTCCGCCTCCTGCTCCGCTCCCTAACCCGGTGGTGGAGGCTGCCATTGT